GACTATATTCTTCATTTATTACACGACTCGGGCAGTCAGAGGGCCAATAACTAAAATCAACCAATCAAAATGCTCTATTGCCAGTCAATATTCTCTCAGTATTGGACCGGGCACTGTCCCGAATGGTCCCGAATGATACTGCTCTTGTGTCCCTTTGAACTTCAGTCTTATAATAAATCTCTTATTAACCAAGCTTGCTCGGGACTGTACTGGAAGAATATCGGCCCTCGATATTTTTTGTACAGACCTCGCTGCCCTCGGTCCGTACTGTCAAGACCTCAGGCCGATATTCTCCCAGTACGGCCCTCGCACTTGGTTAATTAAAGATATATTTATCCCCTGACAAATGGGTAGTTTTTCTAAAATATTTCAAGTCATTAGTCACATCCATGCTATTCTTGGTAAGTGTGGTCAAATGCAGATCATGTGTGCCATAAAAGACTTTATTAAAAACTGGATCATTGGATAATGCAATTCAAGACTTTTTATTGGCTTAGCTATTATGGTATGTGAGCCAATATACCATAATCTAATATCTGTATATTATAACAACCAGTTTCTTCTTACAAAATAAAGTCGAGAGCACTTGTCTAATATCTTGGGAAGTTTTTTTTTTTTAATAAAACAATTATTCCACTCGCGCTTGTTGGATGTGAGATGATTATCGCCAACTCGGCGCAATGCGCCTCGTTGGCTATCTATCATCTCATATCCAACACATGCCTGTGGAATAATTAACAACTATTCACCAAAGTGGAGGTGGCGGATATATCCCAAGCCGCGAAGCCGCAAGGTAAATATCCACCACTAACCACCAACACTTGAGGTGAATAGTTATTTTAGTATATGCTAAAACAGCGAGATAATATACACCACCAAAAATTAATTTGAGTGATTTCTTTGCTTGACACAGATGCAAACCGGGACACCAGTATAGGATATGATATAGGATAGTATAGGATATTTAGGATACTATAAGGTATAGGATATTCAGAGTTTGACCACAGGGAGCCCATACAATCTGTTTGTGTGGCCGACTGTTGTTTTGTAGTGAATGTACCAGATTTACCGTTTGCCTCACCTATAGTGATATATTGCTCAGTCACGCTGATTGACCATTTCAAAATAACGTCATCCAATTCAAAATAACCTCCTCCAATCAGAAAAGGGCAATCAGCCTGATGGTTTCTGGCTGGCACATGAAAATCTTTCTATGTTTCCCAGGCACTCAAATACTGTGGGATTTTGATTTTCTTTGAGGGCTAGCTCCGGTCTGTTTGGATGGATTTTTGATTGGAAGGTACAAGGAGAATCGTGCATCTTTTGACCTTAATGCTGCGAAGTTTCAAAGCAGAGCGATGCAATTTTCAGGGAGAAAATCACTCGGGCGCTTGAACCCTTTCAAAACAGGGCTTCCAGCCTTGTCTTTCTTTTATGCATTACATTAACTATGAAATCAGACTTATTCAAAATTGCTCAAAAAAACCAATTTTTCAGGAAAAAGGATGACTATATACCACAGGTAAAGTAATTCAACGTTTTTTTATCAATGATTTCTGTAAATAGTCAGCAATATATCACTATAAGTGAGGTAAACGGTAAATCTGGTACATTCACTATAAAACAACAGTCGGCTACACAAACAGATTGTATGGGCCCCTCCCCCATGGTTTGACTAGCCAATCAGAGTGCGCCTTCAACACTATCCACTGTTTTAGTATTTACTAATTGTATATACTAATTGTTAAATGGTCAGTCAACAAGACAGTCTGTAATTCATCAAAACTTTGTGATTGGTTGGTCAACAGTTCATCACCAGTTCACCAATAGTTGGCAAGTGATCTACTATTCTCTACCCTAAGGGACATAGCCCATTAATTCTGCCCAAGCCATGGCACAACATATGCCTATTTAACAATTATCTGCCAAAGACAATGTGAATTTTGCTGAATAATCCTCACAATGAAGTCAAGGGAATTATTCAACATTTATTCACTGAGCATGATGCAAATAATAGTTTTTCTGAGTTTAATTGCTTAGGTACTTTTGCATTTTGTAAATATGTGTTGTTGTTGAAACCATTCTGTACGTTACAATTGTTTTGACTCCTCACATCGAGATAAAAGTAAACAACCAGTTTCCCTAGAATTTATATATCTTATTAACCAAGCACGAGGGCCGTACTGGGAGAATATTGGCCTGAGGTCTTGACAGTACGGACCGAGCGCTGCGCTCGGTCC